GTCCAAATTGATGTTAAGAACGTAAAATCAGCAAATTTTAACTGCTAGATCCGAATTCTAAATAAATCAACCGAACAATTAAACTTAATCTTACTTTTGGACTTTAGAATGACAAGTAAGTGTTAACTATTTATATAATATTTTTTCTTCCTCCCCTTGCTAAGTTGTCGATGTGGGACAAAGTTAATTTCACATTTTTAGTGCAAAATTAATAAAAAATGAAATTTGAATAATAGTTAGTATCATTTTTTGTAATTAATGCAAGTTTTGTTTTACTTTTTAAGTGATGTCCATACAAATTAGTAATTACATCAGTCATTTAGTTGATACAAATTCATATTTATAAGTTAGTTTTTTTAGATGATATAAAATACATTCGATCTGTATCAGTTTTAACAAAACGATGTCAAACAACATAATCAAAACATCAATTATTACCAACTGATGCTAAATTAGATATATTTGTATCATTCTTTAGTAAGTAATTTGAAACAATATCACTTAGTTTTGTGATATATTTTTAGCATCAATTGTAATTGATGTAATTTTTTGTATCATTTTTATAAATGATGTTATTAAAAATATCGATTATCTAATTGATGTAAAAACATATTTTAGTATCAATTTTGTTAAAGTGATACAAACTAATATAAATTGTATCAATTTTGTTAAAGTGATTCCAAATTAGTCAGTATCAACATCAATTATTACAATTGATACTAAACCATATATATTTGCTTCATTTATAGATAAGTAATTTAAAATAGTTTCATTCTATTTTGTGATATAATTTAAGTGATACAATGTACCCATTTTTTTATAGTGACCAAATAACAAGTTTTCCCGCGATTTCTCAGGATTTTGAATCCTAGTTTCTTTAATAATATGATGTTGTTTGAATTTACTGATTTTTAAAAATGGTTATATTTTAGTTTCTCAAGGAGAAGAACTTGGAGCAACTAATCCCGCTTGTAAAGGTGGACGATGCCGAGAATATCACCATCGACATAACGACGAATGCTTACAAAGATCAGTTCAATACTATTTGGCATTGCAAACCAACGATGGTCATTGGCCGGCAGAGATAACAAAGCCACTCTTCTATGTCCCTCCCATGGTAAGTTTTACTCTTGCATTTCATCAATTCTATCTTTGCCATAGAATTAACGATTTAGGGTTTATATTTCCAAAAAATTTGTCCCATAAAAAATGATGTGAATTGGAACACAAGTTAGATTA